TCTAGGGAAAGTGGGTAGAAACTTCGAAGGGAAGATTAAAGAAATTTCAGGAAGTTCAAAAATTACCGTTTTATGGACCTATTTTTCCACTGAATAAAAGTATTTCTCGATTTTCAGAAATTACTGGCATGGAGCCATCAGCTATTTTTCGACTCTTTGGTTACCAAAAACGGCGAGGAAATGGAAGCATTAGTCGAAAGAGTATAAAGCATAAGACATTTTTGAAAATGAATTTTTTTTAGAGCAGGGAGGCTCAAAAATTGTAATTTACTCAAAGATAAAAGTCTCTCACAATAGTTTCCACTGAAAATTCAGTGCGGGCAGGCAGTAATCATTTTGATTATTAATAAAAAAAACGGTATAAATCGGTATTGTAGCTCAAAAATCGGTATTCTGAGAAACCTTATCTGTATATCTGTATCAAGTTTGAAAATCGGTATAAATACCGATAAATCGGTATGTCTGGTAACGCTGGTTGTTCATTTGTCAACTTGTCACTCCCAATACAGTTTAACCATTTTTGGGTAGGTTCAGTTTTGACCGATCTGGATGGATTGTATCCAAATTTGGGTAGTTTTGAAATAGCGTGTGCTTTATTTGTCTGTCAAAAATCTGTCTGGTGGAATTTCAATATGTCAAATTTAAGTGAACATTCCAGATGGAACACAGCCTAATCAAATTTGGAATTTTCTGAAGTGCGTTAAGTCACAGTTCGAAAAAAAAATTATATGAATTAATGTGTTATGCGCAATATAAATTAAATGTGAAATCATACATGTTAGGAAATATGTCATGAAATATTTTAAACATTGCATGTAAACACCAAGCTTGCATACAACTTGTAAGCTATTCTTTTTACAAGTGACTATGTTAATGGAATACTCCAGGGTGGCCACTGAACTGGGAGATTCGGAAATTAACCGCGAATCGAAAACCACCGGGAAAACCCAGCCAATAATTTTCCAATGATTTGAACCTTAAAATTTGGCTGTTTTTTGCTTTTATTAATCGAATTTTATTAATAAAATAGTCCGATGTATCGAATATTTCTTCTAACCTAACCTTCTTCCTACAACCACTTCTGAGTGCGGTTCGAGGTTTGGCACGGAGCCCCATCTTGTCCTTGAGGGAAACAACCTACTAGACCACCGACAGCATGCTTTCCGTCCTGGGCACGGAACTGGTACATACTTTAACAGCCTTGGCCAGATGGTACATGAGGCACTCCGTAAGAACCAGCACGTCGAGGTGGCCTCCCTGGATCTGGCCAAAGCTTACAACAGAGCCTGGACACCCCAAGTACTACAGTAGCTAGCCAGATGGGGCCTCGGAGGAAATATCCTCTACTTTTTAAAGAATTTCCTGCAGGACAGAACCTTCCAGGTGACCGTCGGGAATCACCGCTCCAGCACCAGACGGGAAGAGATCGGGGTTCCCCAGGGTTCCGTAATTGCAGTTTACATTCTGGTCTATGCGGACGACATTTTGCTACTGATCATAGGGAAAACCCTGAAGGCCATGAGGATAAAGCTCCAAGCTGCGGTCTCCGCTGTTGGCCGATGCACTATGGGCAAAAATGGGTCCAAAATTACCCAAAATTCAATATCTCAACAGCACGCTAAATTCCGGCCATGAAAAACGACTTTTCCGAAGGGAAATCGTCCGGGGAATCGATTGCACGTGGTCCCATAGACCGGAGAGCCTTGTAGGTATGTGTTTTGGACCATTTACCCAAGGCTCTCGGTCTATGGGACCACGTGCAATCGATTCCCCGGACAATTTACCTTCGGAAAAGTTGTTTTTCATGGCCGGAATTCAGCGTGCTGTTGAGATATTGAATTTTGGGTAATTTTGGACCCATTTTTGCCCATAGTGCGATGGGTCGCTAGGACCGGCTTTGAGATATCTGCTGAAACGTGCTCAATCTCCCACGTCTGCCGCCTTGGCCACCGACCACTTCCGACACCAATCAAAATTAACAGCCACATTATCCCTAGAAAGAAGACCATATCCATCCTCGGGGTCACGATTGACCGGAACTTTCGGTTCGGCACCCACCTTAATGATGTCAGGACTAATTGTCGAACACGATTGAACATCCTCCGCGCCCTCTCCGGGCAGCATAAAACGAGCAACAGGGCCATCGTACTCAATACCGCCAGAGCCATTGTTCATAGCCGACTGACCTACGGAATTGAGCTCCTCTGTGCGTCCAGCGATTCGGTCGTCACCCGACTAGCGCTGATATATAACCAGGCAACACGAATTTCGGCTGGACTTCTGCCCTCAACACCAGCCGATACCGCCTGTAATGAAATCGGAGTGCTCCCTTTCCGATATTACATTTCGGAAACAATCTGTACCAGAGCCGTGGGCCTCGTCGAAAAATTAAGCGGAGACGGAGAAGAATATCTCCTCACAGAAGGCAAACGAATCCTCCAGGAAATCACTCACCAGGAGCTCCCTCCGGTGGCCAAGCAGTTCCGAGCAGGAGACAACTCTACGGCAATGAGATCCTGCCTCACCGAATTATTACAAACACGGTACCACAACTACGAACTCCGTTTCACCGACGGCTCCGAGGCAGGAGGCCGGGTTGGCTTTGGATTAACTGTTGGACAGACCTCACACTTCTGGAGACTCCCCGATCAATGCTCGGTCTTCTCGGCCGAGACTGCAGCCCTCCTTTACGCAGCTTCCCTACCATCCTCCTCTCCGCTATGTGTACTAACCGAGTCTGCTAGCGCCCTCGCGGCACTGGAATCCGCCACCCCTCGATTCAGGCCATACAAAACCCCCCCCCCCCTGGCACCACTTTCATGTGGATACCGGGACACTGCGGAATTGCCGGAAACATAAAAGCAGACCACCTCGCAGCCATTGGACGAAATGGCCGACTCGCCAACACTTCGGTCCCCAGACAGGACCTGAAAATTTGGATCAAGTCAACCCTCAGGACGGCATGGGACCGCGAATGGTTCGCCAGGAGAAACCTCTTCATCCGGAAGACCAAAGGGGTAACCCTTCCCTGGACGGATGTTCCAAGGTTTAACGACCAGAGATTTCTGTCCCGGTTAAGAACCGGCCACACCCGCATCACCCACAACATGGGGAACAGCAGTGGCAGAAACTTCCACCAAAGATGCGACACCTGCAGAACAATAATGACGGTCGAGCACATTCTAATAAACTGCCCTTGATTCCACGGACCACGAGAACTTTACGGGATTCCGGGCAACATCCGAGACGCCCTTCAGAACGACCCGGTAGCAGATGCACAACTGATATGTTTCGCGAAGGAGGCCGGAATCTACAAGAGGGTTTAACCTTGGTGGGTGCCAGGTCTCTCCTGGCAGCTTCTACCGGTGGGGCTCGGCTGGGGTCCTCAAGACAAAACAGAAAACACAAAAGATGACAGCAACATAGAACAGTAAGGCAAAATAAGTTCCCCTCTGGAACCGCAACCACCATTCAACTCCGTAAAATAAAAACTCTGTACCTTCTCTCCCTTTGGGATACCCCTTTCTGGGGTGTCCAGAGATGAACCAGCCCAGGGCTGAAAGTCTCCTTAATAAAAATATAAAAAAAAACACAATTTTGGAGAAATTTTCAAAAATCTGTAGCGAACTTTACATTTCGGATATTAAAACATTTCTAGATTCCGCATATTTAAAACCAAATCAAAGTTGTGGGCCTTCTCTGGTACTTGAAAGCCTTCAGAATTTTGGAATTCTTTAATTATTAATGTCGTTTTCGTTTTTGCGGTGTAGCACCGGTGTAGTGTAAGCAGGAATAAGCGCGAGTCTTTGACAGCTCAACATCATTTGTTTGTAAACAAAGTGTGCATCCTATATCTACACCCTAAAATATTTCGGTGTACGGCAGTGTAGCACCGGTGTAGCTACACCGCAAAAACGAAAACGACATAAGAGCCGCGGTTCTCAAACTTTTGTCTATTGCAACCCACTGTGAGAAATTCCATAAGCCCGCGACCACCCAATAGTATGAAATTAAGCTGAAAACTGAAAAAAAACATAGTGTGCATTGGCAAATTTTAAGCATTTTTGCTGGCGATTCTTTGAGACCTTGTTTATTTGACAGCTGCGGACATAAAAATCTCTGGAACAGTAATTACTAAAGATGAAATCTGGCTTGTTGTTTTTTGTTTGTTTGATAAATCTGTTGTCACACGCGACTGAATTGTACGACCGCGGACGGCGAAACATTGATCTTCCTTATTCACAACGTTTAGCATACATTTCCAACTGACCATGACAGGTTCTCACCTACACACCTACACATTTTCACTCACTCAATCTGCCGAAAAGTGACGTGCTTCCTACGGCCAAGCATTCATTCGAGCGAGAAAAAAGGGCCAATTTCACACATGTATCCAAACAGGCTTATTTTTAGACAACCCCAATTGGTGAACGTCAAGCAGCTCCGCGCCGTCAATCGATGACCGATCCGATCTTGAAATTGAGATGATGCCCCTTTCAACCAAAACTGAAACGTTCGGGAAGACCACTTGTTGGTTTTGAGAAAGATCCGGACACTCCCACCCACCCGCTTGCATTGGATTATGTTTTTAATAGCTCAGGCTCAGGGTGTCATCAATTATAAATCATTACCTGACTCACTGCATGTGACATTTTCCCACCGGTGATCGTCATCGGCATTCGTCACGTCGCGTGCTCTCCGTAGTTTCAGTTTTCCGTCGACTTTCTCATTTTCGTTAACGATGGTAAAATGGGAAATTTTAAATTTAATTATTGTATCATCGCTTCGGGAATGGCGCCACCCACGTTTTCTCAATATAAAATTCGTCGCCATTAGTAACTGAGCTGAATTGGGGTGTGTGCGTCAACTGACGACAATTCGCTCGTATTGTTTTATTTGTGCAACCAATTTACAATGCAAAAACAAAAAAATATATATATTACATAATAAATAACCGTTCCTGATTCTGATGTCTCGCCTTGTTTTTATTTTCTTTGCAGACTTCGCTTGGGTGACGCTAGCGACCAATGATTCGTACTCGTTGGGCGCCCTGGTCGTGGCGCATTCGCTCAAACGCGTGCACACAGCTCACCAGCTGGCCGTACTGATAACGCCCGGTGTGTCGGAAGCCATGAAGTGAGTATCTGCTGATATGCACAACTGTGTAGCATCCCGTATGAGTATTAATAGACTCGTGCACTCTGGACGACAATTGGGCGGTAACAATCAGTCGGAACTAAACATCCCTGTTGGCAGGGCTGGTAGCGAGTCACTTTTTAGTGACTTGGTCACTTTTTTCATGCAAGTCACTAAAAAGTCTCCTTTTTTAAGGCCAAGTCACTAAAGTCACTTTTTCTTGTAATCAGTCACTATTTTAAACTTTTTTTAACGTTAATTTATTTCAAGATTGATTTTTCCATAGGCCTTAATTTTGTTCTAACTGTCCACGAGACAGTTGCGATCAGCTGACTTTTTACCAAGAACTTTTGACACAATAGAACTGGCAGTTTATTCTCATATTAATTTCTGCTTCATTAACACCAGATCACTCACTCACTCACTCACAGATCACCTTATTCGAAGTTGTCGACCTTGTATAGAGTTTTTTTACGTTTAATCGTCTTTTCTATCTACAGGGTGTCCACTTATTTGGCTAAATAAAGTTCCTTAAGTTTTCCAGGTTTTTCCATAACTTTGCCGAACTATTTATAAAATGCGTTAAAAATATGATATTTTTTTGTAAAACAACAACAACAACAATTAATGCAAACGTTTTTAAGACATGACAATCAGTTTTAAAGTAACAGTTTTACTTCATTTTAGTAAGTCTAAGATCACAACATTTTTAATGTATCGAAGTTACGTACTAGCAAAATTGTGGAAACTTTTAAGAAGTTCTATTTATCTCAGAAAAACTAGATCTAGAGATCTTTGGGGAATTCCAGCCCGGAAGTCTCCAAAAGTTTAGCCTAGACTATTGAATTGGTTTAAAAATCTAAAAGCGTGAGTTTAGACAAATTCAGGATAATTCCATTATGTGCTGAAATAAAATCAAGAATCCTTAAGATGTTCCGAGAGATTCAGTACAGAGACCTTCAGAAAATGTATGAAAACTTCAGAAATATTTCAGGAACTTCACAGAAATCTAGAGAATTCCAGGGAAGTTTAAAGGTGTTCATGAGAATTCCATTTATTTTAAAGCAGAACCGAGATCTTCATTAGAATTGAGAGCTTTAGGGAAGATCCAAGAACATCAAGACAGAAAATTCAAGGAAATTGCAGAAACCTTAAAGAATTTCTCAGAAAATTTCTGGAATGTAATAAAATTATATGAGCATCCGGATAATGCTAGATTTTTTCAAGGATGTTATATCATGGAAATTTCAAGAACTCAAAAATTTCGAAAATTTAGCTTAGTTCATTAGAGAACATCAACGAAGTTCCATAAATAAAAAAATCTAGAACTTTTAGGAAGTACCGGTATTTTTAATAAATTCCAGAGAACTTCAAAAAAATTTCGATATTTTTTTATTGTTTCGTTATATTCAGTGAAGTTTCGAGCACTTCGAGGTTGATCAGATAACATCACAAAAATCCCATTAATTTAAGGAAATTTGCTGCGACTTACAAGGAGCTCCTTGAAATTATGGGATATTCCGAGTATACTATGGTTGATCTGAAAACTTTGGAAGATTCACGGAATTATAAATATGTATATATATCAGAAAATTGTCCGGAACATTTGATCAATTTCTAGAAATTCAGGTAGACATAGAAAATTTCAGAGCTGGACTTTCCAGGGAAAATTAATGATTTAAGGAAAAGTTCCGTGAGCGTTTATAAACTTTATAAAACTGGAAAATTGTATAACTTAAAGGCAATTCAATCAATACCAGGGGTTCTTTTAAAAAAAATACTAATATATTCAGGGCAGTCTAGTAAATTTTAAGGAAATTGAGAAATATTTTGGGCTGTTTTAAAAATATCAAGAAACTCTAGACTATTGAAGAAACTATGAATTAGTTTCGAAAATCTTCAAATCTTGAGAACTTCAGTGTAAATCATAGAACTATGTTAATTATTTTGTTGCGGGAGCTTAAAAAAGTTCTTTAAATTTCAGAACAACTTCGAAAACTTCACAGAAGTACAGAGATCTTCAGAAACAATTCGAGAACTTCATAAAAGCCTATGGAGCTTAAGGGAAGATCCGAGAACTTCAGGAACTTATATGGACATTTCGGGAGCATTTCAAATAAGTTTAGTAAAGTTTTAAGCTAAGGGGAATTTCAGGGGAATTTCAGGGGAGTTCAGTTCCATTAGTTATCAATAAGTCCAGAAGTTCACGGAAGCTTAAACATTTTTAGAAAAGTTCTATTAAATTCAGGGTAGTACAACAAGCTTCATGAGAACTGCAAACACTTAACAGAAGTTTCGAGAACTTCAAGAAATATATTGATCTCGCTAAAAATCTCAACAACAAAACTTCATGAAAGAACAGATATCCTAAGAGCAGAGATATTCCAGACAAGCGACATTACATAAATTTTAAAAAAGATTCGAGAAATTCAGAAAATTGTTAAAACTTTAAAGAAGATTCATGATCGTTAGGAGAGTTGTGGAAACTTTAGGAAGTCCGAAAAGTTAAAAACAATGATGAGAAGTATTGCGAGCTTCAGGCTAGTTTCTCAAACTACAAAAGAACTTCAAGGCAGTTTCATTAACTTCAGGAATATTTTGGGAACTTTCAAGTTGTTCTGAAGACCTCAGAGTAGTCCATTCCATATTCAACGGAGTTTTCTCATGAAAATTCGCTTGGAGTTCTCCTAATCATTCACTTTTATTCTACCGAAACTCTCATGGAATTATTTCAGAAATTCACTTGGAATGCTTCTCTGAATTCTCTAAAAAATATCACAAGACTATAGTTAGAATACTTCTTGCAACTATCCTCCGAATCGAATCTTCGTTTAATTTTCCTAGCAATGGTCTTGAAATTCTCTTCAGTAAGAAATCCTATTTTTTTTTTGTTAATTCGTTTATTTGTACAGGCTCAGTCGAATAAACTTTACAGAGCCGATATTTTCTTTTTCTTCTACAATAAGAATCTTAAAACTAGAGTTAAGGGGCTTAACCGATTGCTCGCGGCCGTCTCGAGGTTAGGGAGTTTTACAATTTAAGGATGGGAAAGGTTGAGAGGATTACGAATTTCATTTGTTTTAATATGGTAACTATTTCTAAAACACTTAAGAAATCTTATGGAAAGATTCTAAGAATTTTCATTGAATTCATTTCAGATTTATTTTTTAATCCCTCTCCTTCCTACATTCTACTTACAATTGAAATACTCCTAAAAATTAATTTTCATTTCTCCTCACAAATTCCTTAGATTTTCCCCTTAATTTGCTTGGCAATCTCTCCGGTAATTATTTTCCGAAATTCTTTGGAATTATTCTCAAATTTAACTGTAATCCTCCTTTTGGGTGAAGAGGATACCCTCTAAGTATTCACCTTACAATTACGAGGACTTATGCTCCGATTTCAAATGTGTGAATGAAATTAACTAGGAATATTGAACGTTTTTATTTTAAAATGCATTTTTTTCTTTGGAATATACTTAGTAAAAAAATATTAAATTTCCTGAGTACTGATGATATTCCCTGAGACTTCCAGGTATTTTCAGGAGAAATGAAATTCCCTGAGAATTCCCGTTTTTTCAGGTTTCTCCAGGTAGTAGACATTTGGAGACTTAGTCATACACTTTCTATTGAATCTTTCGCTTTAAAGGTTCCTATCGTACACATTTAAGTGTTTATGAGATTCTTATTGAATACATCTAAAACATCAAACATTTATTTGGTATGTCATCAGAATGACTTATTTTCTTCCCTTGGGTCACTTTTAGTCACTTTTTTACAACTATAAGTCACTATTTGGTCACTTATTTCTTCAACATGGTCACTAAAATCACTAATTTTGACAGCATTAATCGCTACCAGCCCTGTCTTGGGAGAATTGTTTGTGTGTGTATATGCAATCCATCTCCTACTGCTCTTGGATCTATTGAAAATCCAACGACCCATACATGCTCATACACGTAACTATTTTGGCCTCCATATACGAGCGTGGGGGCACATCCATCCCCGATCCACATATCAAATGGATATCTGAAATGTATTCACACTTCCAGAATCAAACATATATACCTTTGAAATTGGCAAGTGTGAGCATAAATCAATTAGGGGAAAGTGGGGCAGTTTCGCCATGGGGGTTATGGCAACATGAAGGGACCGCAGAATCCATCGAGTTATAGAAAATTTAGAGTTACAGAATATCGGGTTGTTGGGAGTTGACTGCATTTTAAAAATATCTGTATTTACACCAAAACATGTATTTTTTTAAAGTATGCCATTCGATTACGTATGTCTTGAAAGTTATGGGTAATATCATCCCAAAAAACACAGCCTACATTTTCACTCAAGGCAGCAAGGTGCTATATTCAGGTAGGGGAAATGACGGCTTCGGCATGACAGACTATTTTCGGCAACCCACATTGAAACACTATTTTCACTGGATTTTCTTACGAAAACACTTCGCTGAATGCATGCAAACGATTCTTTATGCTTTCAGCTTCAATTTGACTATATTTTTACCACTGAGAAAAAGCAATCTAGCAAGGTTTTCTTGAAATGAAACACACGCACTACAAATTGTAGCTGATTTCGAGTTGCCGATAATAGAACAGCAGATTTACATGCATTTCAAATGGAACGGTTGCCGAAGAAAAACTGGTTGCCGACAATACTCGCTCTCACTAGAGAAGATTGGAGCTTTGTAAAAGCGTTTCAAAACAGTTTTTGACAATTCTTTCGACTGAAATTGTTAGAGCAGCTGGCAGCAAAAGATTGTAAACAAACCAATACTGCATATGTGTGCGTTCCTTAGAGAAAAAGGCTATAGAAAGAAGGTCGCTGCTTAGGTTGCCGAGAATACGTAAATTCCCCTATTTATGAGTTACGTGCAAGGTTGCAAATACTCATTTCAGCTAAAACAATGTTTTTCTAAATTATGAAATAATTAGATGCCATGATCAAATTTTGAATTGGTAGGATACAAGAAGAGGTTGCAAAGAATGTGTT